AGAGTGTTGTCTCATCCGAGGATCTGCCGAGATTTGGACTACAAAAAAAATCAACCCGAGGGTTGAAGATTTTTCTGTCACACCCTCTGAGGGTAGGGGGAGATTATTTTCGCCACGACGTAAAAAAAGAGGTAAAAGTGTCGGAATAGCGCATATCACCATTCACGTTTCATGACGTCACGGTTTACATGTAAATCATAACGCAACATAATATAGATCTAAAAAAATCAATTATATCTATTAATTAATCATTTACGATATAGTATTTCATATATATCAATGAAATGGATCAACATTACGATACATACTACATTCATAATTATCTAAACAGTCGTTTTTCTCTCGCTGTCACTTCAAAGCATACAATTGCCGACATGACATGAAATATGTTCCTATGGGGCGAAAAGCGTCAACTATTTTCCCCATCTTACCAATTGCACTTACTCTCACCACATTTCCTACTTTGAAGTCCATGATTAATACCAATTCTGTTATGTAAAGTTTGGATTTGCTTCAGGATGCCGATAGCTAGCAGACGATGTTTGTTTACAGCCAGAAGTAGTTCCGGTCGAACTTCCAGTTTAGCACGTGCTAATCAGGACGAGGCTATCTCCCCCAAGAGGTTGACAAGCTGATCTTTCCCGGCTGAAATGGGACACACGGCTGTGAATAGTGGGAGAAGACATCATCCACTTCAAGTCTTCCACACGTGGGACAATAAACGTTCAAATATTTACGTATCATATAATTAACATTCGGTGTTTGCCAATTGTTATCCTAGAACATGGCGACTTAGATCAACGGCAAAAAAAAACGTATTTTTTGTACATTTATATTTTTGTATATAACTTAGGAAACTTCGTAAATGTAACCAATGAGAAGAGATTGACGTATACGTATTATCCGTCCCTGCAATAAGTAAACTTTTGATAATATACTACAACAATGAAATAGGTAAGTGTGTATTGGCAAGAATATTTGCATAAAAGCTAGCATTATGATGTATATTAGTTTTACAACAATATCCACTCTTTGAGTCTGCTAAGCCTGTATGAAAATATACAGGTAAATAAAACGTATTGGGACAGGTAGTGATCATGTGTAAAGGTGTATCAAGGTGTTCACCCAGGTATATTTTTAACATGATAGTGGTGTCAGGTGAATTTGAATTGTGTCTTCCAATTAACATGTTGGGCAGATATTGAAGAGTTCGCCCGATTGATTCGTTACTTATTGTTCATCTCAACTGTGTTAGGTTTCTCATTTTTCACATATCATTTTGTATTAGAAAGTTTGCATAAAAATTATGATTTGTCACTGGTTTTATAATACCTCTTCACAACACCGTGTACCATCACTGATGAAATAAAACCACTTATAAAACTGCCATATTATATGATACTCCCACTGTCACTACCATCTTGCGGAATGGACAGATTTTGGGTGCTGAAGATTTCCGAAAGTTACCGGAGAAAGCCGAACCGCTGACAGACAATCAAACTCGCATGTAGCCGAACGCTACAACTGTATCGAGAAGTGAAAATCGATTCAGTATACTACCTAGGTAAGACCTATGTCAAAATTTAGATATCTACAAAATATGTTTGCCGATGATCGTTAAAACCGTTCAAAATGTCACTTTTCTGAATTACCAGTTTTCTTTCATGGAATGCGAGACAATCTGTTAAAATGTAATTTTTTATTTATGTATTTATTTATTTTCTATTCTTTTTTTTTTTTTTCTAGCCTTTGCGATCAATAATTAAAACTTCGGGACGAGACAGATGCCCACTCATTTAAGATCCTATATCTACATGTATCATATGACCAGCGTCATTCAGCGAATAAACCAACTGTATTATAAATTATGAAATGACGTCACAAACTGTAGCAGACTATTTCATGACGTCACAATAGATACCAGCGATATAAAACCAATACAAATCAATATTTGCCACAGAAAGGAATAATGATACAATTGTTTTGTCTAAAATAATGTCAGTGATAAAGCGGATCTGTTTCATTTGTGATTTATGAAACTTGTCATATTCTTAATCCGATAAGCCACGCATAGCCCTTCATCCGCCTCGACTTTTGTCACGTCACGTGGCTGCGCCCCTAATCTCCAACGTATACGTGGACATACTTCCTGCTAGAATGTAAATGGAGATATTTTCCTATCTATTCTTAAAAAAATATAACTAAAAGTTATCTATTCATATGGAATATCTCTGTCAAAAAATTACCAAACAGAGCTCGTGATTATTTTTTTAAACTTTAATCTAATAGTCATAACTTACATGTATTTTTGTCTGCTGATATTTACTGTATCTAAAAATAGCCACGAAATGACGAAATATTGACCAGAATTACATTATACATTAAACAATCTTAACTGTATGACACGTAAACAGTTCAATTTCAAAACGGAAAATAAAATGGAAACAAAAGGAACCTATTATCATCACATACTATACACATTATTAATCTTTTGTCTTTAGTTTCGTATTCAAATAAGGCTTTGGTGTTTAACGAGCCATATTGACAAGCCGATAGAGATCGATACCCGGATTTCACTTTTAAGGTGTGTTAACCTATATACGTACACGTGTAAGTTCACATACTGAATGTACATGTGTGCGATACCGGATTCATCATTGACGTTCACGGTCATTAGCATATCTCGGTAACATTTGACGTCAATATCACTGAATAACTTAATCCTAAATTAAAGGATTTCTACATTCAGGGTTAACAGAACTTGACATTTTAATTCTTCTTGTTGAATAATATCTATGAATCTAACATTCATCATTTTATTTTTTGTAAACAATGCTTCCACGTCGTTATTTAATGTTTTAAATTACACCTGTACCTTCCTTTTTCAATATTTTAACAATAAGTATTAATGAACAAACATAAATTATTTATAAAGAAAAATATAGCGAATAAAAATCACTCATGTAGACATACCTCTGAAACAAATATATATAGTTCTTTGTTTTTTTCCTTAAAAATCACAGCAAAATGCTGATACGGAATCAGATTACAAACTGAACCCTTAAATGTCTGGCTAGACCCTAAGATTTATTTACAAACAGTAACTGTGTGCGGAGACCCACTGAAGACGTATCGAGAGTGACCTTCATACGTTACTTTTCCACCGCAGAAATTGTTTTATCTACAACGTGTAAACCATAAGAAGAACCAAATAAATTATAAGATATCGTAAATTTTGCATATAGGAATAGGTCTATCGGGTCTTCACGTAGATAAATGTCATAAAACATACATTGTGTTGTCATGCACAATCTCGTTTGAGATATATTTTTCTTTTGGTGAATTTTTATTTGTAGTGTCGGCCATCATCGTTTCAGGTCCCTTCTATCGTTTTAGGACGTACTTAAACTTATAACTTGATTCCAAAATACATAGCCCGACAACAGTAAAAAAACTTAAACTCAAGCATATTCTATTGCCATATCGCAATGTCTAAAGCATTGGTCAGTAAGATTTACCAACTTATAAGTGAACTTCTCCCTCCATACAGAATTATGATTACAATTATGAAATAAAAATAGTCACATGATTAAACATTAGAATGTGAAGTACGACGAGATTAGAAACTAATCTATCATGTTTAGTACTACATATAGCTTAATTAACCACAGAATACAAAATTTTGAAGAGGATGAATTTCGTCACAAGAATTTTATTTCAACTCATTACTAATCTAAATTGTAATATCCCAACGGACCAATTTATAATTATCAATTTAAACACCAAAATAAATATGAAAGTAAATAAATAAATAAAAATAAATAAGACTAGATATACTCAGCGGATACTCGAATTTAATATTGGTTAACCATTTCAAACAATGATGTAATAGCAACAACACGGTAACGATGACATATATTAACATGCGTGTTTGATGACATACTTATTGACAACAAAAGTTGGAGACGAATAAAGAAATCTATGTTAGTTTTATCGTATTATACAATACACACATCATCTACCGTAAACTGCCGGAACATGTAGATGAATGACACTGGTAGATCTCATACGATAGAAAAGTTCTCTGTCATCCGATTTGATATTGACGGAAAATTGTAAATCTTTATATAAAATTTCTGAACACCCCACATGTTAAAACTGATAGTTAGATTTGGTTTCAAGTTTAATTTTTATTTTCATCATCATTTTCATTTCCCCCCCCCCCCCCGAGATTGAGTAGTTTACAATAGAATATCCTCTATATGCTTTGATTGTTCACACCCGAAAAGAATGACAACATTCTACATCAGTGGTTAACCATCAAAATATCATGTAAAATGTCAACTGGATGATGACGTATTCGAATATCAGTCATGGCTATATTTTCAAAATTCGCGTGTTAGATAAGGGTAGTACACACGTGTATCAGATACGTGTAATAAAATCATTGAATGAATAAAAATATCGATGATGAATTCAGCCATCGCACGGTGTAGTGATTTTCGCTAACAATATTTAGACAACCCGTTCCCACTTGGAAGTCCAACGATAAAACCATATGCTTTCACTGCGGTACCCAGGTACACATCTGTTTGCTGTGTGTACCGTTATAAAATTTGTTATAAGGCCATGTGCTGGTCTTAAAATAGTAACATAACGGTGCTACCCTATGACGTAGGCAAAGCACAGGGAGTAACATTATCCAACCGAGGAATACTAGCCAATCAAAACACTACACATTTAGTTTAGCCGTGAATAAAGCATATGGGCCAACCTATTCCGGATTACCGGTCATTGTCTTAAAAAATTAAAGTAAGGAATAAAATTCGTCGCAGGGATAATTTTAATCTGTTTCTGTAGAAAAGGGATATAGTTGTGTAAGAAATATATTGAAATAATCAGACTTTCTACATCTCAAACACATGCTATTTTTAGCAGTCCGTATCTGACCTCCCCTGCAAAGTCGATTCGTCCACTGTACCTTACACGGTGATCTGCTTGGAGCGCTTGTCGAGGTGAAGTGGTTTACCCGAACACCTAAGAAAATCAAGCTAGAAATTGTATGTTTCTGGCTTGAATTTTCGTTTCTTTCACCAACCTTTCATTTTGGGATATATTTGGGGTCAAGGGTCCATTCACAGGAATATTATTTTATGAAGTGAAGGTGATTTTCGTTAAATTTAACCATAAACATTCGGTGCAATGGAATATGCACATACAAAATCGACGGAGGAAGTGCTTGAATACTTCAATGTCGATGTGAGCGGTTTATCGGAGGAACAAGTTAGGGTAAATACAGAGAAATACGGGCCGAATGGTGAGTACAAATTTGAAATAAGGAGTCTCAAATCGATTTTAAAGGGAGAGAAACTGCAACATGCTTTCGCGTGTCGATCACGTTGACTGCGTGTAAGAATCGCCATATTTGATATGTTCAGATAAAAGCAGTCGATAAATAAAGATGAGTTAGTATGAATTCCTTATATGATTATAATAAATCATTAGCAGCACGAACATATAAAATGTTTATGTTGATTTATAATATATTAATGTAAGTTTTCTGTTTTCTTTACAGAATTACCGACGGAAGAGGGTAAGTAAAGAATGGAATTTTTATCGGTGGATTTACTCTTGTGAAATGTCACTCGTGCTAAAGTCAAAGGAGATTTCGTTATCCGTTGTTTATTCAGAGGGCCTTCATTGTTTTCTCCAGGTAAACCACTATGGGAATTGATCCTAGAACAGTTCGACGATCTTTTAGTGAAGATTCTCTTGCTAGCAGCTATAATCTCATTTGTAAGTATGCCTTACGTATGTTAAAATTTTGTACGACAACACGACACGTGGACCGGTTCTTGAGTGTATCAAAATATTCACCATGTGATGTTATGCAAATATGTATGTATAGAGAGAGGCGTCACTAATCAAGCTATAGGGAAATTGAAACAACTATCCATTTCGAAGGCGGTTACATTACCAATTCTGTACCAGGAAATTAATTAAAGTGTTAATAACTCATCAGCACAACTTAATATATAACATTTTAATTATAAGTTTGCAGTCAGAATCCCTGCTCCACACCTTAATTTGGATAAATGCATTTCATGGCAAACCGAGAATCCCTGCTCCACACCTTAACTTGGATAAATGCATTTCCTGGCAAACTGAGACAGAGGATTACTAAATTGTGATTATTGATATATTGACCAAAGTTTGTCTGGGGTGGTTTGGCAACAAGACTAGGTCTAGTGGGCTGGAATCAATGAGTTTGGATAAATTTGTATTCATGAAAGTGATTATGGATAAATGCGGTGTTCATGACAACTTGACTATTTATATAATTGCATGGAATATCAGAATCAGGAATTGCTTTGTGTAGACAAATATTTGCCCTGATCCTGTTGGAAATGATCATCTTGCTTGAGAAGATGCACCAGCACTCAATACATCCTCTCAAGATAGAGGACAAAAAGTCCCTCGTGATAGAATGTCATTGTTGGTCATTCTTCTTTCAAGAATTTACATTCTCAGTTCCATAATTGACAGAAGCCTTTACTTCCATTTCATTGAATCAAGATAAATTCTCAATAAATGTAAATAAGACCAATGGATATTATAATAAGAGTGCAAATTAAAGGCTTTGACCCAAAGTAAACACATTTTTGAATCTGTTTTGGTTTTTACAATCGACATGACTAAATTACATCTTTGGTAGCTACATGTACATTTGTTTGGCCATTTTAAAGAAAATGTCATTCAAATCCAATTGCTTTGAATTTGCCTCTAAGGTACAGATCTGTAATCCAAGTTAAAATATTAGACAAATTCTTTTCCCAACTGGCCATTTTCCAAACTGGACCATCTCCTTTCCTCTGGCATATTCTTAACTAATAGAGAATGTTTTCAGTGTTAGGTTGTGTATTCATAATTCTTTCCTTACATCAATACAGTATTTTCTTGGTTATAGAAAGAAAGTATCCCGTGTTGAAAATTTTCCTACATGTGCAAGTATATTTATATAACTACACATGGACTCTGAACATAAGGATACTGTTGTATTGTCCATTACAGACTATCTGTAGCTCTATACACATACTTACATTCTACCATGCTATTTGTAAGCTTCATGACTCATCATATAAAGACTGATTGATCTTCATCAATTACAGACAGGATACACTTGTGTACTTTATGTTGGTGTCGTTCACCTTTTCCAGACTTCATGATTTTGTAGTAAGAGGTCATGAAATGAACAACAATATATTCATAATTGGGTCAGATGTCTTATATGTATGTCATTCAATATGTAGTATAAAACACTGATTCTGTGATGGTGTCTGGTGTGAACATGTAAGTTTGTATTTCAATTCTTTATGTAGAGTGTTTGTGATACATGGTTTTATTTTTCTTAAATTTTCTTGATACATATTTTTTTCAGTTTTAATAGTTTTTAATATCTTAAAATATATTGTTTTACTCAAACTTGTAAACATCTTTTTTATCAAATTTATATGCAGGAGTCTGTTGTGCACTATTGAAGTATTCAGGATGTATCAAGAAATTAAAGTGTGTCATCAAATCATTTGACTCTATCATGGGATAGATTATTACCGGTATTAAAATTGATAAAATCTGAGTTTTTAAGTCATGGATAGGTAGATATTTTAGGTGAAATGTATTTCTCTGTTTCTGTCAGATTTATTCTGTTTTGAAGAACATGGTTTTCGTTGATCCAAGAAGGAAGAAATTGAATTTATTATCACTTCCATTAAAAAGATGGTAGATCTCAATAGAATATGTGCTGTCCCCAAAACACTAGCCAGATTTTTTGGTAGTGAATATAATTGGGCTACACTAGATAAGTGTGTTGAGTTAAAAAGGGGAGGTAACTTTTCAAAGTGTAACTTTAGTGATAGGATCGTCAGGACTCTGCAGTCATTGTAAGTATTTCTTTCATGGCAATAGCATAGATATTTTTGCATACATGGTGCAAATAATTTTTATCATTTATTGTGTTTTTTCGCATACAATGTAAAAAGGAAAAAAAAGTGTGAAGTCGATAAATGGTAGAAAATATATCAGCATGGTTTGATGTATGAAACAGTTGTGTGCCATTTTCATTTTAGATTAAATGTTGTTATGTATATTCATTGTCTAGTATAAAAACTTGATTGTAAAAGACACAAAGGATGAACAGTATGTTTTAGTAAGTAATTTTGCAGAGTTGGAAAATTGATGAGTGAAAAAGTTTTCTAAAATGGTTGATATTGACTTTAAACAGGTTGGACATGAAAAATATCCTGACAAAGGCCCATGCAAACTTGTAGTTTAGGTAGTTGTAATTGTTGAGAATTATTTGTAATTTTAGTAGGTTGCACCCGGATGCAGGTCACAACAATAATGAAAAAGTTAAACAAATTACACCCACTTACATACTTCCTTCAAGTATTACGTAATGTTCTACCATTTTTGCTAGTATAGGGGGTAAAATGAATTGTATTCCGTGGAAATAGCTTAAGAAACGCATTGAGAATGATTTATGAAATGAGAAAGATATAAAAGAAATAAGGCCATTAATAAATGAGAAATAATTAAAGTCACATATACAGTACAACTACAAGTATATAAAATACATTTTCGGTCATATCGGACATGATTTAATACATCAAAAGGGAAAAAGAGTCCTTGTCATTACAATGTTTTGTGTAGGTGACTATCGCAAGCATTGGGCCCATATATATCCTCATCTACTTTATCGAATGATAATAATTGTATAATATACAACAACCTTTTAGATTCCTTTTGCTTGCAATCTTGATAATACTTCAGTGGAATGTGCAAGATGTGTATGTTTAAGTAAACGTGTATATATATATATATATATATATATATGTATATATACATACTATACATGTGTACCATTCCTATCAACCTTGTGTTATGTTATATAAGCAAGTTCCACTTCTACCAAAAATACAACACACCTCAAGGCGTTGACCTTTCCATTCTTTTACCAAGCCTACACATCTATGATAACTAGATGCAGCTGAATTTGTCTCCTGACTGACAGAACTGCTGGTTGGGATCTGAAGAAGCAAGCTAACAGATTTTGTTTGATGGAAAACAGCCAGTATAAAGGGGAGCATTAATTAGCTGGCAGATGAAGATGTCAGATTGTGTCTTACATAGAAAAGTAACCTAGCAAGTGTATAAAATAAAAGGTCTGGGTAGAGTGAACCCTTCAGTTTCCCTGTGGAGTAAGACCTTGGTTAGGATCAGAGAATGTTTTCTTGAAAAACAGGAAATTAATGTACCTATTTTCTGTATTTGATGATATATTTATGATGTTCATGCCGTTTCTTCATGTTGGCAATATGGAATAATTTAAATATGATTGCAGAAAAATTGATACAAAATGGGCAATGATCACAGCATGTCATGTATATATATATATATAGATATACATGAACATTTGTACAGCCCTACTTAATTACATGTACTTGTGTTAGGGGGCCCTAAGATTTAGAAATTGAATGAAGAATGTCTTGGGAAATGCTTTGTTGGCAGTCACACAGCCAGGCTGTTGTTAAAAAGGTTTACATGTATATTACATGGAACCTGTAGTGTGGACTTTTAAAAAAATAATGTAAAACTATGTCACTGTCTTTCAAGTAGCAAGGGTAGCAATGGTAGCTTAGAATATTATTTTAACACATTGTTCAGGTTTGTCACAGTATTTCATTCTGAAGAAAAAAAATATGGTAGACAGGGGAAACATCTTTTGCTGCAATAGGACCAACAAAATACTGCTATTTCAGCAATATCAATACTTCGATTTTGAAATTATAGTCAGTATTACATATGTAGATGTAAATTTATTGTTGCCGAGAAGTAATTAATCACCAGGATTGTTGATAGGTTTAGTTATTGTTTCTGAACCATATATAAAACTATACCTGTCCAACTACCAAACCAACAAATGCCCTAGCCACCCACCAACCTCAAACGTTCTACCCCTCCCAGTTCTCAGGTTTAGTTACCGTTTCTGAACCATATACGAAACTATACCTGTCCAACTACCTACACAACAAATGCCCTAGCCATCCACCAACCTCATTCTACCCCTCCCAGTTCTCAACCCCACTACCACCTCCTCATGCATCCTTTCATGATCATGATCACTGCCCTGTAAAATGCTTTATGTCATTTTCCTTCTACTATCTTAAAACAAACCACTATTATGCCACCACCATCGCCTCCACCACCACCATCACAACCAACACCTCAGTCCCCAGCAGACATCATTTAAAACCTTAAAACCTCCATTGAAGGTACTTGTAGTTTGAGAAATCCATATATTTTATAGTGTCAAACTTGCATGTACATGTGCTTCCAGGAGTTCTAGCTTTTGTGCCTATAAGAACTGGTTTTGATAGCAAATATATATGTTAAAAGGAACAATCATTGAATGTGGATAGGCAATACTCAAGTGTGTCTTCTGATGGTCTGATTTAAGAAAATTTACGAGAACAACTGTTCTGTTAGTCTGAGTCAAGAGATTTATTAGAACAACTTACTGCAAGCCTTGCTTATGATGGAAGGTATAGCCTCCAAGTTTGAACAAAAATTCCAAAAGTATTGATCAAGTCTGGGCAGCTGATCCTGGCACAATATAATGTAACTGTTACGTAATGCTGTGGAAATATGGAAAGATTTGTTGTAATTAAGGCCATTGATATTTGTACCTTGAGAAAAATCTTCCCATCTGGAACATGCTGAAGAACAAATGGATTCAT